GCAGGTGTAGCTATTCACGCCATCTATGCATGTGGCATCGTTTTTACATTTGTTATTAATACAGTCATCTATGTCTGTAAATAAAGAATAACAATAATATAATCACCTGAATACTACTACTACTACCACTAACACTAACACTACCACTACCAGTACCACTACCACTACCACTACCACTACTACTACTATTAATTGCGTTCGACGTTAGGAAAACGCAATACCTAATCTTGGGATTCTTGTGGTAGTATTTATAACCATTACCATATCTATAATCCATCGCTAAAAATAGAAGATGACTCATTGCTGTACACCTATTGGAAAAACTAAATTCACTCAATGAATTTTACAATTTATTTTGGTAATTGAAAGTAGTTAAAACTAAACATTTTACAAAAAAACTGTCTCAGCTTTTTATACCTGACAGAACAGTGGAATTATTGGATTCTTTGGAAAATAAGTGTTAAAAGTTCTAAAGTGTTAGAAACTTTACCTTTCTCGCAATACGTTCCAGTAAAACCTGGTGGGCAATTGCAAGTGTAGGTACTTACGCCATCCATGCAAGATCCACCGTTAGCACAGGTGTGATTAACACAATCGTCGATGTCTGTAAATAAGATAATCACCAGAAAATTTAGTCTTTGAATTGGCGTAAGACAAGTCGGGAAGAAAGCCGGGATGGAGAAACGTACGAATGAAATTATCATGGGATAGATATATTGTTGATGGGATGATTGTGTGGATAGATGCAAATACAACGTACGTACAACGTGGAAACTTACTAATCTCACAACGACTTCCGTTAAAACCTTCTAAGCAATTGCATGAGTAGCTGTTGACGGCATCCAAGCACGAACCGTTATTAAAACATGGGTGGCTAGCACAATCATCGATATCTGTCAAAGGAATTCAGAAAAGTAAATTGCAATGTCTAACTTAGACTGTGGATATGCAAGTACAGTCGAACCTTTTGTATGGGAGTAACCATAATTATGTTTAAGATTTTGTGCGGGGGTAACTTTTTACCTTACCAATAACAGGTCCAACATTTCCGTTATTGTACTCGATCTCAGTTAAAAAAGAAATCGCTACCAAAAAACAAATCTCCGACTGTGTCTCTTCAGTGGTTGTGAGTTGTAGTATTGTCCAAGTTACAGTGATGTTCGATCACACCATTTGTCAAATGGTATGTTGGGAGGGTAAATCAAGGGAAAGTTTAAAATACCCGACCATCACCTTCAAAACTTGCCGCGGTCGCTCGCGAAGGTGTGGTCGCTTATGAGAGGCTGACATTGGCCAGATTAAGTCTGAAAGTTGCACGACCTTGTTTTCTATCCTACCTTTGCAGTTTTTCCCGTCTCCCGTGAAACCAGATGGGCAAGAACCACAGGAGATAGAGTTATTATTTTCCGTACAAGGCACACCGGGGAAACAAGTATCGTTGCTACAACTTGTAATAAGAACATCGCAGTGTCGCCCCGTAAAACCAGCATTACAAATGCAGCTGTAATTGTTCACTCCATCAAGGCAAGTACCTGAGTTAAAACAAAGAAAAAAATACAATTATTGTAGTCGCGAATGTTTTCGCCATTCAACATTCAACTATCAACTTCCATGAATGCATGTCTTGAGGCTCAGGCGTTTAAGTCAGACATATAACCTTTTATAAAATAACTAAGATAATACGCGCTTTCTGATTGGTTGAGCCGGTAAACTCATAGTTTTACTTAAAGTTCTTTTATAAAAGCAATAGATTTTCTCGTGTTCTCCCAACATCCCGCGTGGGTTATCACGCCGGTAAACCCATAGAAAGTGTGGTCTATTGCTTAAGTATTTTTTTTTATATATTGGGTATTCTATAACGATCCATACAGATGTTGAGTCGGCAAATATTTCAAACATTTTAATTCCTATACTGACTGTACCTTTCGGGTCTGAGCAATATTAGCAAAAGCAACGGGAGAGAGGAAAAGGGCTATTTGAGAATTGTGTGTACGCCGAGTCTGACCTAGCTATAGTTTAAGTTCTGGAAGAGTTCAAAAAGCATATCGTGTTGTATTTCCATAATCATCATTATCATCAGGATCTGATACCGATGTATTTTCAGATCTTTTTTCCAGTGGCTGCTCATTTACTCATTGAAAACGTCATGGTAAAATTTGTCACTCTGGGGGTTTAATGGTTAAGAGATAACACGTGAAAGTGCACGTGACAGGAGTCTAGTCATGCGAGCGGCGGTGGCATTGATTGCTCGTTTTCACTTACATTAAATTTTAAATGAGTGCGAGAGTAAAATGTAATTGCGAATATTTCACCATTTCCGCAGGAAGCTTGACGGCAGTCGTCCACATTAACTTCGCATAATACTCCACTGAATCCAGCGTCGCAGGTACAACTGAAGCCGTTCACCTTGTCCAGGCAAGTTCCTTGGGTATAAGTACCATAAGCGTTAAACTTTGAGCAAATATGTGCTATATAACTCCCTTACTAAATGTGACCGTTTAATCAAAACCGAAACTTAACAAAATACAGCTGCTACGGCGCCATTAAAAATCGACATTACTTCTTTAAAATTTATCTGCTCGTAAACGAAATCAAATACTATCTGACGGCCTTAAATGGGCTTCTTACTCAAAACACGTGTTCGTACTCGAGTAAATAGGTTATTAATGATTCAGTACAGGGCTGTAAGTTTGTTTTTTCGTCTTGACGTACCAGTGGAACCGAACTGATACTTGTCTTGTTTAAGTAGCTGTCTCTCACATTTAGTCAAAGTCGAATCTCATATTTGGGTCGTCGTACGTATCAGCGCATGAATACTTACAAACGAGCTGAGCGAAAACATTAACAAGTAAACAGAGATATGAACAAAATCGCCACATCAAATTATTACAACCAATTGTGGTTGACTAGACAAACAGTTTATGATGTTCTCTACAGCGATTGCCTGGGCGATAACCAAAGTTATCCGTCGATTAAGTTATCAATTACGCTAGAGTTTACAAGGTTAAGCTTCATATAAAGTGAATTATGATACCGTTTTTGCAAGGAGATGACTGGCACTCATCAATGTTTACATCGCAGTTTATCCCAGTATATCCCAGTTGACACTGACATTGGTAGCCATTTAACTGGTCCTTGCATGTCCCTTCAACATAAAGAAAATTGTGCTAAGTGCCAAATGTAAGGTGAAAACAATTTGAAAACTTCAAAAAATTTATAGATGTACCCTTCTGTCACCTACAAAAAGAAGCCATATGAATCTGCTTTGTGAGCGTTTACAATTAAAGTCAAATTTCGCTCTAATCCTAGGTTAACTTAATCCTGCTTTAAACAGCCGCGCCCTCGTCAGTTAAGAACGAAATTTCGGTTCATGCCGCGAACTTTCGTTACAGTTCATCACGTAGCTTCCGAAATTTCGCAGGGACTAGAGCAACAGATGCGTCAAAATTTCGCCGAATTTTCGTCTGAAACGAAAGTTCGCGATTTGTTCGGTGAAATTCGCTCTCATTTTTTTGCACAGTACTGTAGTGGTGAAAATAGGCAGTTCAGAAATTTATCGTGCGTATCCGTGACCTTAAGCTACTTACAAACGGACGCAACAACTCCCAACTTTGTTGGTCTAACAGTGTTGAGAGTTGATGTGTCAGTTTGCACGTAGCTGAAAGTTTGACCAGTTTCAAACTTTGCGCATCATCTCCCAACAACACGCAACAACATGTAACAGGGTGTGCAAACAGACGCAACATGTAACATCCAACAATAATGGGAGTTGTTGGCCAACAATATGTGTTGCGTCTGTTTCAACGGGGCTTTAGAAAGGTTAGGGGAGGAGGAAGTATATAGAGGTTTTATTCCAGAACAAATGAATCGAAAAGAATTCAAGGTATTCGACATGATGCGTAATCGATTAGCTCTGTTGCCCGCGCTCTTTTTTAACAGACAACTATTCATTGAGGGGACGGTTTCACGAAGCCCTCCAAAGTTTGTCAATAACGGTCCGTTGTTATGAAGCAATACTTAGCAAATATCTCAGCATGTGAGGTCATAAGTATAGGTTGAATGTAATTGGCGCGTTCGATCAAGACTTTTGTACAGGCTACCGAAACAAGTAATGTTTTTGTTCCACACGAACAGTCCTACACAGGATAACACACATCAGGACATTCATATTCACAAAATTTACGACAAAAAACTTATTACGGACAAACTGAGGAATAAACGTTGGTAAAAGGAAAGATCAGTTACCATTGACACACGGTGATGATTCACATTCGTCTATCTCTACTTCACATCTTTTTCCAGTCCAACCGGCCTCACACTTGCAGATGTAACTGTAAACATCATCAGTGCAATTGCCTGTGATCAAAATGTACATAATATTTTTATGATACGAAAAAGAAAATAATTATGCTAATTGGGGGAACTGTGACTTAAGAGTTGAAAGAAACTAGTTGTTAACTCTAAAACTGGTTATTATTTGCATGTAAGCAAGGTACTTTGAGTCGTGTGAAAACGAAAACAATATTACGCTTGATAAAAATCTTTAGAGGAAATGACTGATAATAATGATTTTATGTTAGTGACAATAAAAGTAGTAATATTTTAAGAATTCTCTTAATGATTCGAACCAAACTTTTCATCTGATATATCGGCTAGAATGAGATCGAACAACTTGAATAAACAAAGCAGTAATAAAAATGAACATTTAGTTTTGAATTTCTTTAATTCTATAACATCGATGAAATATTCTCGTCTGTCACTTCAAATGCACTTTCCTGTCCCAGAGGCGAGCTTGGTCATTGAAACGAAAATAATAGCTCTCAATAATAAATAAGCTAACATAACATTTTACCGTGTACACAGGGCGATGGCTTGCAATAATTGATATCATTTTCGCAATCTCTCCCATCAAATCCGAGTTCACAGATACAGGTATAATTGTTAAGTAGATCCTGGCATTGACCTGATGTGATAATATTGATAAATGTGTTAGTCTATGAATGATATTCAGAGCTACCTGTTGGAAGCCAGAAAATAACACAGAGGTTAAAATCAAAGCGGCGTTTATCAATGAAAACGTCAATAGTAACGATAATGTTGATGACGATTGTTGTAGCAATTTTAATAATCATAAACATGATCTTAATATGATTCATTTCATATATTTCAATTAAATGATAATAATAGTAATAATGAATTTGATGATATTTGATAATGATGATGCTGATGATAATTATGATGATGATGATGATGATGATGATGATGATGATGATGTTGATGATGATGACGATGACGATGATGGCTCTGACAATGACATCGACACACCGAAACAGCGACTTCATAATCTGGAGAAGACAAACTATTTTGCAAAGCCTATCAAGAATAATGATATCCATTACTGCTAAACTGTGAAAGGTTTTATTGCTAAACTGTTGTTATCATCTGACAATTACCAATGATGGTAATGTTAAGAAAACTATGACGGTAAACATGACCAGTGAAAATTATACGTGTGTGACACTTAGACCCAAATCAGAACATGCCCTTGTTTCCAGCTTCGGATGTCGTTTGTAACAATTGAGTAACCCATTAAGCTGGAAGAGAGAAAAAAAGGCACTAGTTGGGCATGAAAAAATAATCACTTACCTCTGAAACAGGGATAAGAATCACATTCATTAATTTCAGTTGAACAGTTCATTCCAGTGTAACCGGGAGCGCAGTCACACAAATACGACCCTCGCCCCCGCGGGGTTTGAGGGACACATTTACCATTGTTTTGACATGAGCAAAAAATTACTGTGACGGTGATGTTGAAAGTCGATGAAGCTTGGCAAGCGTCAGTAGCTTTGAAATAAAAATGTGTGGTCTTGTTTGTTGTGACGTTCCAAAGAAGTACACTACTGTGCACTATTGCGTCCCTAGGACTTCCTTCCAGTAGAGAGATGGTAATTGGCATTCCTTCTGGATCTGATACTTCAATTGGCAGTTCAAGCCTCTCGCCGTATACCGCATAGTAGTCAGTTATATTGGTAGCATTGGGAGGGTGGTTGACTGAAAGTATATACAGAAAGAAGGATTATCATCATTCGATGCAAATTTTAATTCCTTTACATTGGCCGAGAGCCCACCACGTGACCTGCAAATAACTGCTAAAAATAATGGTCTGCTCATTCGCAATGTCGGCTAATTGTGTTTGACTGCAAATAATATTCTGCTTATGCGTAAATGAAACCACGCTTTTCTCCTTTTTGTGATCGCTATTGCGTGAAAATGGCAGCCTTCCGAGGATATGAAGCTCGTAATTATATTCATCATTTCAAAATATGTTTTACAAAATGTCTATGGAAAAATTAAATTGCCTTAAACTGACCAATGGCAACCCCCTATTCCTCCTCTTGTTTGGAGATCACCGTTCACTGTCGTAACTGTAAAGCTAATGACAAACACCTTGTCGAACGTACCTTGGCGTTTGGTCCAGTCGGCTTTATTAATTTCGGGAAGACACTGTTGACACCAGTCCTTTGGGTTTGGTTCGTTCGGTGCAAAACAGTAGCCTTTGATAAAGCAGGATTTGTCCTTATTGTAAAATAAAAATAACATAACACTTTGACTCTGAAGATAACTACCTCACAGGTTGTCGAAACGTCAGTCACTGTCAATAACAACAGTCTTTTTCAGATATTTTGTCCTGGTAGTTGTATGTATGTACTTAATCCGTTCTGTGTTGGTCTCTGTTCTCGACTAAAGCAGACAGCCCGGTTCGATTATAAAACTTTTTTTTTTATTCATTGTAACGATAAGTTTGTGAAGCTGATTATGGCAATGAATCGGTAAAACGTAATGGCCAATTGCCTGAAAACTTTCATTCCAAAGTTAGTTCGATCTCACTCTAACACATCCAAAAAAAGACAGGGTAAAATTGTTAAGCTTGCCTTTAGAACGCAACCTGTGGAAACATTGCACTCCATACAAACTGAATCATAGGATATAAATTTTAGCTTCTCTTTGCTTTGGTGAATGCCGTTATTTGACACGGATATCATCAGCCCTGCAGCTGGAATTCCTTTGGTCTTTTCATCATACTGGGTACGCCTCACTGGGGAGTCTGGAAGAAGGCATTCTACAATAACAAGGTCAGTCATGGCACCCGAGTATTGTGATTCATTCGTCGCTGGTGTCCACGAACTGTTGACAACCTGACAATAACATGAAAAAAAGTAAAAAAACGATAGCCATGTACCAGTAACTGTGCCTACTTTTTAGGGTGAAGAACATTTAGACGATTTAGGGGGGCAATTATACTGTGGCTTCGTGTATTGAACCCCTTTTTAAGGCAATTTGGTCAGGCTCATTTTCTTTTTGTATTCATATCTTACTCAGCCCCAGAAATTAAAATGAGAATGCGCTATGGAATAATGAAATGTAAATAACTATTTAAAGATTTTATCCGTAGAGAGATCATCGTTTGCGCTTTTCCTTAACCGGGTAACCAAATTCTGG